CTGATCAAGATGGCAAATCAAAGGATCAGTATTTGAGAGAAGTCTCAAGAATACAGACAGATCCAACCCTACCTGGGATAAATGACAGCACCCGACTGGATCACTGGTGGAGAGAGGTTATGCCTTGCTATCCAGCTCTTGGGAAGGTAGTAAGAACTTGTCTTAGTATTTTCACTGGACCCAAAATAGAACAATCATTTAGCATTATGAATGACCTCATTGATGCTAAATCAAACAGGATGGCTGTGCAGACATATTCTTCATTTCAGAGCGTGAAGTATGATTTAAAAGCACAGAACACTAGCAGCCTTGGTCATTACCATAGGGAGGATGTCCTAAGGGATCCTGTGGACAAGAGTGTGTGCTACCACATGCAGACAGCCTATGGCAGATATGCTAAAAAACTGAGGGAGAGGAAAGAAAAAAATTACTGCCAAATCCAGCTTATTCTAAACATGGATCAAAACAATCAGTGCACACAATTGCTGAAAACATTAAAAAAGCAATATGGTCAAAGAGGGGAGCTAGCAAGAGAAAACGAAACAGTGAGGATGTTGAAAACCAAGGAAGAAAAAGATCTAGTGTTGTTGGTGTCACTGTCACAGCTGGTTTTCTCTTTCCTAAGCAGACTGTCTTGTTTTATTATTATAGAACTATGAACTTTTTACAGAATTTGCAGTGCATTCCATTGTATATGTATAATTTAGTGCTTTATTGCTGGCTTCTATATGCAAAAAAAATTTTTATGCATGCCACAAGCCTTTTGCCTCCCCTACGTTAGAAATGACTCATTCCAGTGTATGTCTTATGCAAATCATCATGCGACAACCCTCCATCAATGAGAGTACCACACACTCTCGTTACGCATGTGACTCCCTGTATTCATTTCTACCAAATTACCACTTCTCGTTTAGACATTTCCAATTTTACTCTCATGTGCTTTTTTGTTCTAATAATTATACTTCCAAAGTGATTTTTTAATCATTTTTTATTATACAGCTGATGAATTTATTTTCAATTTACTTTCCAGACTTTTTTTTTGTTGTTGTTTGTTTTTCACATGTTTATATTTATTTATTAAAAAATTTGTTTGATTTATTATTTACCATGAAATCGAGGTTAATGTGACCGCTTTGGGTCTCACATCTACTATAAGCACTTTTTCACTGGCTGCAAATGGGAGTGGATTTTATCTGTGATTATTTGCTGAGAGATTGATCATTATATGGGTTAACCACCTTCTTCTAAAGTTGCCCCACTTCCTCATGAACAATCCAAACCTGTTCGTTCTGATGAAGATTTTGATAGTTTTTATCCACCACCAGATTTTGCCATGTCTTCATATTCTCCATCTGCAGAATCAGCTAGGCCTAATACAGCCTTTTTAGATATGATTTTTCAGGTATGTGATGTTTTATCACTCTTCCTGATTTCCTATGATCCTCGTCTTCTGTTGTTGCTTGATAGTGATTTCCTTGACTTGTTCAGCTCCATCTTACCCCTCTGCTTCCTCTCTCTCCCTTCCTTCTTTGACAACCTTGGTCATCGGTGCTTCATCCCACTCTTCCTGTCCTTAGTCTTCACACTTTGTTTTTATCCGGCCTTTGACGAAGAGATCGGAATTGTCCTAATATGTAGCATCATTTCTGGCCCTGTCCATCCACCCTTCCTCCATGGAAGTTTATCAGTGTAAATGGAATTTTTTCCCCAATTTGTCTCTGGGCCAGAGGGTTTCAGCTGATTGGCCAACTGTTCTTCATATTTCAAAATTTCTTATTTGGCTTATTGATTTAGGATCCTCTGTCTCCTCAATTTCCAATTATCAAATAGCTTTATCCCACACCTACTATTTTTCCCAATACTGTAGGGTTTTTACCTCTCCTACACTCTCCCTGTTGATTTGTTCCTTTTGGAATCGTCGTCCTCCATTTCACCTTTCCCTTAAGACTTGTTTCCTTCTCCTATTAGACTGTGGAATTCGGTGGTCTGATTTATTTGCCATCGATATTTCACATACTCTTTATCATCCTACATATCTCCTTCTTTTTGCCAATTTCCATTTCCCACATTTATCCTCAGCCTGATCCGGATAAACTTCTATGTCCTGTATGTGCTCTTTGATGTTATATTGCCTGCACAGTTTCCATCCATGGTGCTCGTTCACACTTCTTTATCCCTTGGCAACTATCCTCTCTTCATGGTATTTCTCAGGGGCCTTATTTCCCTTTTCATTGTAATTCTCATTGTTTGGATCCCACTCTGTGGCAAGTGTTGCCTGACCAGGTATTCTTTAACCTTTAAAATCCGCACTTTTCAGCCATGTCGACTTACTTAATATGTTCTATGGCCACTCAATTCAAACTGTTGAGATGGGGTGTTCGACAAGATAGTTTGTAGGTTATTCTCATGATGAAATTGCTTCATAAATATGCCCATCCCAGACTGTACCATCCATGGACTAGATGGGTAAAGCAGAAGGGGATAGCTGCCCATCCCATCCATGCCATGCCTTGTATTGAATGAATCTGCATGGTCTTCTTTTAAAAATAGGGTTTCTTGGTCACTCATTGCATTGTCTCAGGTATTGATGCTCCTGCCAAAACACAAAGTGATAATTTTATAGAATTGAATAGAGGGATTCACATGCGTAACGGGAGTGTGTGGTACTCTAATTGATGGAGCATTGTCACATAATGATATGCATAAGAGACACATTGGAAGGAATAATTTCTAATGGAAGGGAGGCAAAAGGCTTATGGCAATGAACGAGAATAGCTAATTATGTGAGGGGAGATCTATTGGAAATACATTTTCAGTACAGGCAAATTATAACTTTATTAGTTCAGCTTTGGTTATTGTTTTTTTAAGGTCATTGTTCAGTGTGGGTAGTTACATATTTAACAGACTCTTTTATGCAATAAGGTTTTTTATTTAACCACAAGTGTGCAAGAGTTGATCTTTAAATTATATGTTTTCCTACCTGAAGATTAGTTCTGCAAAAATGTGTTAGCTTAAAGATAAATTAAACCCTATTCTGGGGTGTACAACATATTAAAATTAACACCCCATTCACAGGTGTGAAACGTTTATAGTAGCATTTCACCTGATTCTTGTCATGGTGGGTGATGTGTTTATAAATACTTATTGAATGATTTGCTTGCAGTTCTTCAAGGCAGCTTCTCCATCTGATAGATCTAATTATGCAGGATGCTGACTATGTTTTAAGACTTATGTGTGAGTTAAGTGTTCTTCCTCTAGCACTACAGATAACAAACATTGCTGGAAATCTAATGGTAAGTATTTTTCTAAGGCTAATTATATTATGTATTTGTTTGTATGTTAAAACAAGGCTCATAAGAAAAGGAATGGGATGTTTTGGATTCAATTTCAATCCTGAATTATATGAGAGCCTTGTGAAGTCATCTTTGATCATTACGTTATTTGATGACTTTTTAGATAGAAAAATTAATTTTTCCTTACAACCTCAAATAAAAGACCATTTAGAAACTGAAATTTTTAAGGTGAATATATTAATAAATGAAACTTATTAATAAACACATTTTCTAAAAGTTTTGATATATTCCAATATACTATTAGCAGATATATATATATATATAGGTTTATTTGTAAATAAAAAAGGTTAAAATTGTGGTTTCCTCTAGAAAAAATTTAAATCTCAGTTGCTAAATGTGTATCACTGTAATTAGATATGTGTGCCTGTTAAAAACTATATACATATATAATGACCAGATGTACATGTTGTTTATGTAAATTAGTTTGTATATTTTAATATTTTGATGAGCAATGTAACTTCCCTCATTTGTGGTATTGTATACTTTTTTGTCACACCAATACTTAAAGTAGTTGATTTTTTTGTTTTATATATCAATTCTAATTACTAGATTAGTGTGCCACATATTTTTGACAAAGGAAACTCAATAAAAAATTCTAATTACATTGTTATTCATTTTATTATCACAAATAATGGTAGAATATTAAATTTAGTTTCTTATACATATTTATTTAAATTTTGAATTATAAATATATTTGGTTTTAGTCTAGAACACTATTAGGAGGAAGATCAGAAAGGAATGAATTTCTACTTTTACATGCTTTTTATGAGAAGAATTTTATTTGTCCTGACAAAACGTTTGGAAAACAGCAAGCAAAAGTAAGTTCTTCAAGCATCATTATTATTTGTACTAATAATGTCAGGTGTATTTTGATAAAAAAATAATAACTTTAATATTTTAGTTCACTGTTTTTAATAACTAATTTATTTATTGTAAAATCTATATAAATTGAAATTTTTACTGATGTTACAGAACTTAAGTTCTTTGCAAAATTTTGATAATAATGGTAAACAATAGTTCAGAAATAGATTGGAATCATGATTGTTTGTCCCCCAGTGTCACAGCGGTATGTATGCGGACTTACAACGCTAGAAACCAGGTTTCAATACCCGTGGTGGGCAGAGAACAGATAGCCCATTGTGTAGCTTTGTGCATAACTACAAACTTTTTTTTTAATTAATAACCTATTTTACTAAAATAAGTTTAATTTGAATAATTTGTTTGATTGAACTTTGTAAACTCGGGGGCACGACAAAGCCAATCATTTGACTGAGATTTATAAAAACAATTATGAGCTTGTAGGTAATGCAAGGTATCAAGTTTTGGGACTAATGGAATTATTGTTTGTTTGTTTTTGTACAGACTTATGCATAAAAAGGTGGGAATTTTTACCTGCAACTAACAAATAATATCGTACTAAAAACAAAGTTTGCTTATTAAGAACTTGTAAAAAACATGCAATTCTATGAACATAATCAGCGATTTAATTTTATCCATTTCTGTTCAAATTAAAATAAAAACTGGGTTTGAAAATATGCCACTAGATGTCAGGTCAGTTGAGCAAACTGGTGTGAGATATTTAGTCATACACCAAAAATAGTGCCATATATTTAATTTTAGGCAAAAAATTATTTTATATTAGAAAAAATATCTTACATAAAGCTTTATATATTTGTAACCAGATGTTAAGAAACCAAACGTCATGGTACATAGAATAAAACGATTCTTTGTAATCGAGGAAAAAATGTTTTTATAATGATAATTTGTGTACAAGCTCAGAATAAATGCAAATTGACCATGTGCATTATTCTCATTTTCAACCTGATGGAAAAACAAATAGGAACATATTTTGCTTTTGTTTTATGAACTGATCAGCCTCACCAACTGAAACATCATGAGTTGAGCCAACAAAAGAATATAAAGTAACATGAGAAAACTTAGAAAAAACAAATCAAATGAGATTGTTACGACAGTGGAGGTCACATGACGCTAGTAACACGTCATATTCTCGAAGCTTCGTGAATCCTCGGGAGGTTACTAGACTTCGATATTCTTTTATATATAAAAACGTGACGGCAAC